CCTCCTCATTCTGGTGCGTCTCTTCCAGATGCTCTCTGATGCTCTGTGATTACTTCCTGTCAACTAGTTGCTAACTCAGCCCCCAGACCCCAAGGTTAATTTTATTTAATTAACACAAATGTAAACTCGAGGTTCACAGGGTGGTCAATATCCCCCCAAAATATTGGGCAATAAATATGCTGTGTGTCTCTCAACAACAACAAATCCCAGTTTACTTACATGAAAATGTGGGAGTAGGCAGTGTCTACCACTTACGATTGTGGGACCAAGTTCATGGTGAGTGACCTAAAAATCGTTAGGCAGAATCCATGGCCGAGGATGATTGAGTACTGCTAAGTGAGCAAATCTGAAAATCCTTGGGAACCAAGGAGAATTCTAGCCTTGTCTCTCTCCCTTTCGTCTGTGCTGTGTCTTCTGTGAGAGCAGCATTAAATGAAAATGTGGTTTTATTATGGTGAGATTTCTAGAAACGAATCCTTTCTCTGTGCTTTCCTCTCCAGGACGGAGGGACACTCTTTTGGAAAAACCTATTATACCCCCAGAACCCCCCTGAACCAGTCCTCCATGGCAGCATGGCCATAGGAGCTACGTCACTAGCTGTTGCTAAAGCCAGTGCCAGACTGACCGGTATTCCTCTGTACATGAACATGGCGTCACTAAAGCACGGCCAGGTGAGTGGACGCTGCATCCCATCACTGCATGGAGCCTGGAATGTGGCAGAGCCCAGAGAACTGCTGTTCTCCACTGTCCCTTGCTTTCCTGACATTTCAGGAGCAGCCGTCGATGCTCACTATGCCTTTGCTGATGGGATCTGTACTCAGCTGTGGGAAGTCATCACCTGGGAAGCTAAATTTAATGAAAGAAGTGATTTGTATACCCCATCCTGGATTAACAACCAAACAAGTACCTGATATCAGCTAAGACAGTTTTCCTACCCCACCCCCCCGCCCCCCCTAGCCTCCATCACTGGTGAATTTTAGTGTAGACCAAAGGGACGTGAATTAAATGTATGAAACGATATTTTCTGAAGGAAACAGACCCACTTACAGGTCTGGTTTGGTACAGCCTTGGCTGCAGGTGCTGACTCGCCAGGAGCAAGGTCTTGTGGAAGCTATCATCTGAGAGTACGGAGAACACCTTTACTCGTTGGCTGTAACAGAAGCCTGTGCTTCCCAGCAATCCATGGGGTGTTCCGTGCTTATTTGTGAGATGAGCACATCCTGAGTCAGAGCTGCACTTCTCAGGGTTGTGCTGGTGATGTCTACGTTGCCCTTTAGTGCCCTGAGGGTCATTATGCTCCAAGTCCTCTACCAGTTAGGCGTTAGAAATAACTACCTAAGGTTCATGCTATGGTGAATGCTTTCAAAAAAAAAAAAGCCGAGGAAGTCCCCCCCACTCCTCCTGCAGTGAGTGCAGTTTTCCTAAGTTTGTGAAAATAAGCTTCATAAAAGTTTCACTTGCTTTCTCTGTAAAAAAGGATCCCTTTTAAACAAAATTATCATTACCTCACAGTTTACATTTCCAGGTAACTAGAGTTTACCTGTGCACTCCCGCTGTCAGGTTATCTGTCAGGTCATATTCAGACCCTGTTGCCAGGACCCCTCTCAGTCACTGTCACCGCGCTCTTCGGGCCCCAGAGCGCTCTGCACGTCGCCCTTCATCTTCATGTGCAGACGCCCTCACCATCGGACCATACCTGCTTCTCTTCCTCCTTGTAAAGGTGTACTTATTTTATGTGGTATGGGTGTTTTGCCTGCATGTCTGTCTGTGCACCCTGTCTGTACAGTGCCTGAAGAGGCCATAAGAGGGTGCTGGATTCTCTGCAAGGGGAATTACAGGCAGTTGTTAGCTGTCCTGTGGATGCTGGGAACTGAGCCCGTGTCCCCGGCAAAAAACGAGTGCTTTTCCAGATAAGCCATCTCTCCAGCCCTAGTGCTCTACTTCCTTAGGTGGACAGGGGATTCAAACTAATTTAGCCAGGCTTCCTTGGTGCCCTGTGACATGTATTGTGACGTTGTCCAGCTTGGCCAAGAGGCTATGATAAAGAATAGTTAGTCGGTTTTCACAATGAAGATACCAAGGCAGAGAGCCTGTCGCTCACACTCAAGCCAGTGGGGGTCAGAGATGAACATTTGCTCTTCTCATTGTGTAGGCCACACCATCCACTAACTGGCAGTCCTCAGTAGGGGGGTCCATGAACAGTCTCAGTAAACACTGGCCGTCAGGCTATGAGTCTTATGTTTAAAATCTGCAGACTGAAGTTGTACACCATGGCTGTTCTGCTTACAGGGTATAGATTTGCCTTCTGGAAATTCAGAAACAAGTTAACAGAGTGATGGAGACGGTATGTAAAGGGAGCTTGTGGTAATTACTGACACTCAAAATCCAGTTTGTACTTCATTTTGGGATTAAATCACTGTTGCTCTTGTTGCTCTGGAGAATGCATTTGTTTGCTTCGGGTTTCCCATCCAAACCAAGTTGTCCTAGCCTCACTTCTGTGTGCCGCAATAAACACCATGACCAAAAAAGCAACCTGGGAGGAAAGGGTTATTTGGCTTCCACTTCCGGGTACCAGTCTACCATTGAGGAATGTCAGGGCAGGAACCTGGAACAGAAAATATGGAGGGACCTTGCTTACTGGCTTGCTTCCTCCGGCTTGTTCAGCTACCTTTCTTTCTGTCGTGGTTTGCATGGTCTGTACATTTCATCACTTTAAAATCGCTAACATTATCTTGGGTCCATCTTGGAACCAGCACTTCCGGGGTCTGTTTAATTATAAAGGGGGTGGGGGCGCAGGTCACTGTACAAATCCAGCCAGGATGGCCATGATGGAGTGGGAAGGGGAGGAGGCGCACCTCTAGGGGAGGACTAGGAAAAAGGGAGCTCCCAGGTATGAGGGGCTGATTGTCCTAATGGGAGGGGTGTAAAAGGCATGTTAGAAAAGGGGGTTTAGGGGAGCAGCCTACGGATGGCACCACACACTGTCAGCTGGGCTCTCCTGTATCAATTAACAATTAAGAAAAGCCTTACAGCCAGCCTGTGCTGGTGCACACCTTTAATCCCAGCACTTGGGAGGCAGAGGCAGGCAGAACTCTGAGTTCAGGCGAGTTCCAGGACAGCCAGGGTTGTTATACAGAGAAACCCTGTCTCAAAAAACCAAAAAAAAGAGGAAAAAAAAAAGAAAAGGAAAAGAAAGAAAGAAAGAAAGAAAGAGAGAGAGAAGAGAAGAAGAAGAAAGAAAGAAAGAAGAGAAAGAAAGAAAGAAAGAAAGAAAGAAAGAAAGAAAGAAAGAAAGAAAGAAAGAAAGAAAGAAATGACAAAAGAAAATGAAAAAGCCTCACAGACGTGGCCACAGGCCAGGTCTGACCTAGACGGTCCTCCTAGGTGACTCTGGGTTTGTGTCAAGTTGGCAGGTGAAGCTACCTATGATCCAAGTGCATACATTGTTCATTGGCAGTGGATCTATCTTCCAGGGTATTGGACAATCCATTTTAGTCCCCGAGAAACTGGCTCTTTACTAAGATCATCACTTAGGATTTATAAAGTATTTCATGACCTTTGGCTCTCTCCAAAAATCAAATACACCTTGATTTTATTCTGAAAATATTGAGCCTGTGAAAGCAAATCCCACATTGGCAGGTAGTAGTTCTGAGGTCAGGAGAGGATTTGCTATGCTCCTGCCCAGAAGGAGTGTGTGCACACACCAGGAGTTCCTAATGTGACCTGCATATGCTTTGAGGACCAATGTGCAGTGGGGTAAGGGCAGAAGAGGATGAACTAAAGGCAGACTTGAGGTTGAGGGACTTGAAGAACATTTCTGGAATGATCTCTGTGTCTGTGTAGCCAACTTCGTATGCATGAGATTCATGGTATAGAAGACCACTCCCCTAAGAATAGCCAGCCTCAGGGCCAACAGCTCTGCTTGCTGCCACAGGGATGTCTGAAAATACCAAGTGATACATTTTTCTTCATTTTCTCATCCCATAGCCCCCACCTCCAAAACCAGAGACCAAAAAAGGGCATGATGCAGGCAAAAGAGGTCAGGTAAGCATGTGTTCTCCACCCCCTTTGGGCACTGCATGTGCCCTGCTCCCTCCCCCACCCCACCCCCTCTTAGTGCTTTTCTTCCAAGACCAGGACTAAGTCAAAGAAATGGAGACTTTATTCCAAGAGTGCTAATGTAGACTTGGCGCCTCAGTCTTCCTCTTCCTGGCTGCAAGTTTCCTGGAGAGATCATCCGCTACTGAAATCTTTTTTTTTTTTCTTTCCCTTTTTTTTGTTTTGTTTTGTTTTGTCTTTTGAGACAGGGGTTTCTCTGTGTAGCCCTGGCTGTCCTGGAACTCACTCTGTAGACCAGGCTGGTCTCAAACTCAGAGATCCTCCTGCCTCCGCCTCCTGGGTACTGAGATAAAAGGAGTGCACCATCAACGCCTGGCATTAACTGAAATCTTAGGATGGAGAGGTATTCTTTATGACTACTGGGACTGAACTGAATCCTGTCTCTATAAAGAACAGAGTGGCATAGGATAGCCTAGAAACTCATAGCGTCACTAACAGAGGGAGAAAGAAAAAAGGCAGTGTTCACACTCACGGAGGTCAGAGCAACTCAGATGAGCTGGTACTGGTACTAAACAAACAAACAAACAACAGCTAACCGTGATACTCACCTAGAAGAAACCTGAACGTAAGAAAGTGTTTTGGAAGAGGAGGACTAACCAAGGTAGAGATCCATGGATATTTCCAGGGATAGCCTGGTGATTGGTGGCTCAGGTTAGCCCAGTGAACAAGGGCAGAGTTGGTCAGGTAGAATAGTTAGGAAGAAAGAAAAGCAGATGGTGTTGGGGATTAAAGACTCAGACCAGGGCTGGGCGGGGAGGGTCAGAAGTAGACGCCATCAAACATGGAAGGAAGAGGTCTCTGGAGACCCATGTCTGTCGCAGGGCGCTCCAAGAACCTTCACACACTATGGTGACCTGAATCGTTCTCCTTTGATCTTGCAGCAGCCAATCACTGGCAAGATGTCTCACCTTGGCTGTCTAACGGTTAACTATGACACCTTAGAGCAGCCACTGCTTCTGATTCAGGGGATCTGCTCGAACCTGGGGATAGAGCTGGGAATGAGCCTGCACCTGGCCATCAACTGCGCTGCGCACGAGTTGATGGACTATGTGAGTTTCCAGAGCGGCCTCCCTGTTTGCAGGACATGATTTTTAAACTAGAACTTACCTGAATATTTTTTGAACAGATGCTATTATAAATGCATAAATAAAAACGGAGTTGAGAAAGCCAAATTAGGTAATGACTAGAAAATAATGCACTATTAATTTTTAAAAGTAACATGAAATATCATGATCATATATAGAAATCTTGCAATTAAAATGGACACATAAAATGAAGGCTTTAAAAATGAAAAACATATTAAAATCCCTTCATTTTTGGACTTCTTAGGAACCTATTTAATAGCATGATTTATAGTATAATCCTGAAAGCTGTTGGGAAATAATTTAACAGTCTGGTATGTTTTGTGAGTATAAATCATTTGGTTGGTAAATGCTGAATCTGTCAAGCATGAAAGAGCATGAAATCGAACCCTGCTTCACACATGCCAGGCAAGGCATTCTACCACTGAGCCACATCCCCAAGTTATTAAGTTTATGAGGAATATGGTTTTATTCCAACTAAATACATTATTGTCCCCCCACCTGGACCATCACCTGGCAATCACTTCACCTACAGAGAGAAATATTTTAAAAGGAAATGAAAGCTGACCCCCCCACCCTCAGCCCCAGGCTACAGCAGCAGTTCACCTCTATGCCTGGGAATCTGTGCATTAGGAAATCTAGTCAGTTTCCTATTTTACACACTTGCACACACTTCCCATCCTCAGATGCACCAATGCTGGTTCTCAGTTTTACAAATAACCTGTCATCTTGAAGCAAGCACACTTGTGCCAACTTGGTAATTAATGTCGCTTCAGGAGACATGGCAAGTAGGATTTCACTTAACTGTGATTCTGACTTTCACTACAAAGAAAATTTTGAACGGTATAGAAGAACCCTAAGTTTTGGCTGATTTCTAGAAGTTATTTTACTCTCTAAGGAAACCAAGCACATAAAGGGATGTTTAAAGTAATTTCCTATTCTTCATGTAATGATTGGTTCCTAGGCATACCATTAAGAAAAATAATTGCATGTTTGCATCAGCAACGTATACCCAGAACTATGAATATACTGACTGCTAGTGCTAGCTAGAATGGGTATTTATTGCTTATATTCAGTAAAATGTATTAGCTTGATATCAGGTAATTCTTACAATAATGTTAGTTCAAAGTCATTAGCATTTCTTCACCGACAAGATAGGATTTTTAAGCTTCTCATTATAGACGCTAAAACTTCTTGCTGCTTTTTAATGTGAAAAAGGTAGAAAATCCTTTTAACTGTAGACTTCTTAGGAACCTGCTTAGTTCCAGTAGAGTCCATTCTATTAGCTGGAACAGCAGGAGGGTATTAGCAAAGCAAACCGCCCACTTCCACCTCCCTCCCTAACTTAAGCATCCCTGGTGCCACCCCTGGTCACAAACTTGGGAGCGAGCTGCTTTGTCTTGCAGGACTAAACTGGATCCTTTAACCCTGTTTACTTCCATACTTAATGCCACGAGCCTTTGCAGAAATCAAATGAATAGGCTTGCATCAGAACACCTCTCCCCTTCCAGGGCAAGTGGCGGCCACTTGAGGACGAGCCACCTTTCCAGGACCGCGTGCCGCTCCTCTTGGGTGTTAGTGTGCAAAAGCTTTGCCCTGATTTCAGAGTTTATTTACTTTTACAGAAAGGGAAACAAGTGACTTGTTCTCTGAGAGTTGAAAGACAGTGGGTTCCAGAGTGGGCAGGTCTGCACTGCTGCTCTGTGTGACCCTTGGTGGATTTGTGTTATTGTCCACCTACCCAGGCAACTGGGGGCCTGCACTACTGTGTCATAACCCTAAACAGAAGGCCGTTCTCCTCCCACTCTGTACCTGATGTGTTTTTTTTTGTGCAGAAGGCTTCATCCGAAGTCTGTGGGAAGAGCTCTCTGGGGCATCCAGAGCAATGGCGACTTGCCTTCCCCGGGTTAAAAACTATGAAATTTAAAGTACAGGAGAGGGGAAAGGGGAAACTGGTCAGGATACAATCTCTGAGAGAATTAGAAAGTACCAGTGCATAGATTTTGCAGCGGAATGTGCCTTGAAAAGAGCTAGTGTATAATCATTGCTATGAAAGAGAGTTTGAATGACACCTTCACCATCCAGAGAACCCACCGTTTATCTTTCACCGCCTTCCTCACACACATCAGAGTAAAGGGAAGTACGAGGTGATGGCGGGCACGTACAAAAGCATGGCTGAGATGGTGGACCTCTACGTGGATCTGATCAACAAGTATCCTTCCATTATTGCCTTAATTGATCCTTTCAGGAAGGAGGTAAGCAGGGTCCACCTTTTCTGTTTTACATGTGATAAAGTAAGGAGTCTCACCTTTCACATTTTATAACAAAGCAGAATACAAAACCCATTCTTCTGGACCTCTGTTGCTGGGAACATGTTGTAATTTGGGCTGGGCTGGGCTGCTTTGTTTTGGCATTTATGAAAAGTCACTTACCAAGCAAATGAATAGCAGAAGCACAATTACCTAGGAGCATGCCTGTCTGTGAAATGAAACAAGCCCTTCAGGAGTACCTGTGTATTTACAAGCAGCCTGGCTGATGGAAGCCGGCCCTGCTGTGCCAGCCAGAGCTTCGATAGGTTAATCATATATCATTTTCATGTGCTCATGGAAACAGGACTTTTAGAAAGCCAGATACTCCTCAGGCGAAGGCCAGTTTCTACATATGCATACAAGTAGCACGACTGTATTCTGAGAAGGTTTGGGATCCTGAGGTTTCAGAGTGCATTCAGAGGAAAACCCTGCCAAGGGTCATCTAAAGGCCACGGAAGACCATGTCCAAATTGAATTTCATGATTTTATGAGTTGGAGAACCATCTGCATATTGAACAGATATCCTCTGAGACAACTAATTGGATTCCAGACAACAGGAAAGCTAGATCTAATTTGGAGTTTCAGGGCTCCCCTCTCACAGCCTAGAGTACTTACAGCACTCTCAGAAAATACAGCTGAACTCGGGGCCTCTCTGAGCCTTGTAATGACAAGCCTGAGACTGACCACAGCTTCGGGATCATGTCTCGGCTCCCTTTATAGGCATGACAGTTACCGAAGCCTCAATGCGGGTAGTACTTCCAGGTCAAAGCTGGAACAGCTACCCACTACACCATAGCTCTGTCAATGTGAGAGGACCCACCCACACAGCCAGCAACTATGGGCTGGCTTGAAATCTGGTCCAGTGGCCAGGATGACTTTGTGTGCATGTAGGTATATGCATAAACACACATCTAATTAAGTATTTCATGTCACACAGTGGTGTTGCCATCTTGTTATTGACTATTAACGGTTAATAATTACTAATTGACTATTAATACAATAGTCTTAACAAATAAAGATGGCTTTTTTCCCCAGGCTTTTGTTTGTTTGTTTCATGGAAGTAACTGGAGAACCTTCTAACCAGCCAGTGTTGAACTGTACTGCGGACAAAACAATGGATGGCGATAGCTGGGCCTCAACCCCATGGGCAGTGTGGAGACAATACTTCAGACACCAATGTTTTGGTTTTTTGTGTTTTTTGTTTTTTTCTCCACAAGATCTTCAGGCTCAAATTAAATTACTTGGAGCTTCTCTCCACGAAGCTTGTTAATTTGTATGGCGGTGGCACAGAAATCCTTAGGGCACAGATGTCAAGGAAAATATTTTATGTGTTTCAGAGAAAGTGTGTGACTTGATGGTATGCTGTTAGTGCTGTTGTCTTGTGATGGCATTCAATGCATTATAATGATCAGCTCTTAACTATTTACCCAGGACGCCGAACAGTGGGACAGCATCTATAATGCTCTCGCTCCCAGGTGCTACATAATTGCAGGGGCTGCTTCCAGAAGCGTCTCTAAACTCCTAGAGCACAGAAATATCAGCACCCCCAAATCTCACGGGCTGATCATAAACCATACAAACCAAACCACAATGTCTGACTTGGTAGAAATAACCCATCTTATCGACGGTGAGTAAAATATCGATCTGAGAGACCCGTAATGGCTTGGTTATGCAAGGAGCCAAACCCACACAGTATGTCCACGTTAATAAAACGTGAGGATTAAGTCTTGAAAGCAAAGAAAGTTCAGCCATTTGTGGGGGATTGAGTGCAGCTTAGCACCTGGCACCATGATGTTCTGCGGCAGCCTTAGTCCACAAGGTCAGATCTTTCACTGATCACGACCTATAGTGGCTTCACAGCGGGGAGGGCTTTCTGCCCCTAACAGAGGGCAGAGCCACCCTAGCATACCCATCTATTTGCTTTAGTCTGTGGCTTTGGGGTGCAGAGGACTATCAGAGACTCAGAAGGGGTGCCCAGCCCTTCCTGCTAAAGAACAGGCCTAAAGCTTTGAATTCTGCTCTGGGAAATACCTGGTACCTTGGCTAGCTCACCAGAGACAATGCAGTCCTCTGGCTCAAGGAAACAGCTTGACATTCATAAAGGTGAGGCACCAGGAACCATGAGGGAGCAGAAGGGTGGATGTGTTAGCCTTACCTCCACATCATGACCAGTGTGTTTGCTCATAAGCCTGAGGACCTGAGTTCAATCCCCAGAACCCATGTAAAAAGTCAAGTGCACGCTTATAATCCCAGTGATGGTGTGATGGAAACTAGAGACAGGGGTTCCCTGGACTTGATGGCTGGTTAATCCAGCCTGTTTAGTGAAATTCTAAGCTAATGAGAGATCCCGCTGTCCTCTGAACTCCAGATGCATATACACATGTATGTATGCTTGCCTACGCATACACATGTACCCACATGGATACATGCAATTAATTTAATAATAGATTCATTTCCTCCATGAATCCAGGAGATTCTATGTGGAAGGGTGAGCTTCTAATCTTCCAGGCAGGCACAGCCCAAGTAAGGACGTGGCAATTAACTTGATTGAAACTTAATTGCCTGTCATATACCCAGACCTCCCGGGGCCATTTTGCTTTACACTGGCGTCAGGAGTCTGGGATTGGGCGGAATTTGGAGCGAGATCACCCTTAGAGGGGAACTGGTCTATCTCAGCAGGAAATGGCAGGAAGATTCCATTTAGGAGAAGCAGTTTTTCTGTCAGCACAGGGACCTGGAGCAGGAAGGAGGCTTGCTGACTGCAGTACCAGGAAGCTGCCTGCAGGTTGACAACGCTATGTAGCATCAGGAAGGTACCTGGATGCGGGTCCCTAGCAAGGAGTCTGGAAGGAGCAGGATCCCAGAACAGGGTCCGAGGGATGACTCGTGGAGCCAAGGGGTCACTGCTGGTAGATTTGGGGCACCAGGGAGAGCAGCTGTGTAGTACTAGTACAGCCATTTCAGCTTCAGGGTGAACCCTCACAGCAAATGTCGTAGTACACACCGCCCTCTCCATTTTCCTGATGAAAATGGAGGTTTGCAGAGGTTAAACTCTCCCTTGGCCCTCAGTGATCCCACTTGCCCACACTTGTTCATTTTCAGTTCCATATGTTTCAAAGTCAGGACGTGCTATTCCTTTGACTAAAATGCTTTGCCTTGCCATTCACTTGGCCAACTCCTCCTCATTCTTCAAGTTTTGACTTAAATGAACTTGTGCTGATGTTTACACCATACCTGACCTGCTGACCCCTAATGGTTTTGCTCTGGACTTTCATCATAGCAGTACCCACCTGTATTTTCTCTCTGTGGTGATAACTGTGAAGACTTGTGTGGTTAAAGGCTGATATCCCCAATGCAGTGTAATTCCAGTGAGGTCATAGCTGTCTTGTATTGTACACTTACGCAGTCCCTGACACAGAGATAACATCATCAGGGGTGTGAGCTAGACAGAAGGACAGCCTCAGACCTGGAGCAGGGCTCAGAGCCAGCCTGGCAGCCAGGGGATGGGGCAGGTACCAGAAGGTGGGCTGGCAGAACTGACTAGAAGGTGCCGGTTGGAAAGCTTCCTGCCTGAAAAATACAAACTGTCACTATAGGGCTCTGCCTTTTATAGACTTTGGCGAGTTTCAAGAGGTTTTGAGACCCTCAAATGTATAAATACTAGCAACTCCAGAAAAAACATTCCTTTGAGTAAACTCCCCCAGGATGAGTTGAGAAAGTTGCTGTGCCAGGGAAGGACTCCGTAGCCCATGCCCTTGAAGCACATTTTTCTCTCTTGAACAGCAATGGAATTGAATGTCATAGCTATGACCTTTAAAAGTTGATCTGATTTGAGCATGGCCCCCCATCCTTTTAGTAGTAATAATACTGTATCTTATAGTCAATGTATCTTAAATTTAATAACATATGCCTTTGTGGTTTCGTATGCATGCTCACATGTGCGTGTGAGTGCACGCGCTGTGTGGAGGTCAAAGGACAGCCTCAGGTACTGGTCCTCTCCGTCCACCTTGTTTGAGACAGTCTCTTGTCACTGTCCCACTGCACAGGCCAGGCTGGCTATCCTGAGGGCTTCCTGAGTTTCTCCTCCCCCTGTGGAAATACTGACGTTGCTGTGGGATTACAGAAGTCAGTGGTGTTGCATGCAGCTTTCACAGGGGCCCCAGGGATTCAAGCTCAGGCCCCCATGCTTGTGCAGCAAGTGCTTTTACCCACGGAGCGTCTCCTTTGCCCCCCTTTTTGTTTTTTAGTAGCACTAAAAAAGAACCAAACAGATAAAGCCAGGGCGATAAAAATGTAGATGCTTGGGTGAGAATGCTCAAGTGGTTAGATAGCTTGGTTCATCCCCAGAAACTCCGAAATCTCTAGGAAACTTGTAGTTTTGATCAGAGTCCTTGTAAGCCACACATGACTGACGGGAGCTGCTCTTGCAGGTAAGAAGCAGCTCGCCATCTTGGGGAGCACGGAAGCAGAGTCCTCTGATGACAGCCTTGTCGATCTGGTAAGTGCAGAAGGATGGTCAATTGCAAAATTGCCAAAACACTGCTTTTATGATGAATTGGTATTTCAGGGAAATGCAGTCTTTGGTGGAGAAAGTCGAGTAACCTTTTATGAAATAGACTTGCTTCCTCCCAGACAGCTCCCTTTTGCAAAGCGCTAATCTTTGAACTTTTTAAAAGAGGCAAAATTGAAGTCCAGGGAAAATGACGGGCACAGTATAAAATGACTGGGGTGTACACTTGCAATCTTCCCTCTAAGACGGGTGCGAAAGGCCAGGCCGTGCTCCCATGAAATCGGCGCACTCTCAGGACTAGTAAAGTGCCCGATGGCCTGTCAGGCACACCATCTGTTTGCCCTTCAGTGCTCAGCGTGCCAGCAGGCCACTTTACTTCCATAAAGACGAAGAGAAACCCCCCCCCCCCCACACACACACACAGAATCCTGCAGCAGTTCCCTTTCTCGTCAGAGGACTGCTTAAAACCCAAACTCCCCTGTTTAAAATGAGTTGTTTTCCCCCACTTTAGGCTGTTGGACTCGGTGCCCGGTTTATCAAGTTGGGGGGTCTTTCTCGGGGTGAACGGGTGACCAAATACAACCGCCTTCTGGCTATAGAGGAAGAACTCATCCAGAGTGGAACATGGGGTATGTGCTGCTTTCCTGCTTTGTTTTCCCTTGGCCGTGAATAAGGGAACAAAGATTGGAAGGGAGGGAATAGAAGTCCCTCGGCAGGAGGGCGGGACAATCCAAAGACTATAAATCAGAGCTGACAAGAGCAGGATGGCACTCGCCACAATGTCCATTGTCGGCTTAATGGATTATCTATTTACCTGAATGCTTAAGACTCTCACCACCCTTCTCCTTGCTGAATAGGCTGCTTGGTGCTTTTCAATAGAATTAATTGATTGGAATCTCCAAGCCTGCCTTTTGTTATGGCCCAAATTATACTTAAGGTTTCTCTGCACAGCCCCTGGAAGTTAAAAGCACATGTGTTCCTTCTGGAAACAACTTGTTTCACTTCCCACATGTAGGCAGCACGTTGACTCGGACGTGGTACCACAGAGAGGAGAAGGTCCCCCAAGAAAGTAACCGATTGCTTATGAAACACAAACTTCAGAAATCTGCATGGGGAGCTTCTTGTGTCCCTCTTGGAGAGAAGCTAGCTGTATATTCACTTTTAAAGGCAGTCCAAAGTTAATCTGTGTTGTTTACCGAGTGATACAATGGCTTGCCCTCCCACCCCATAGGCCAAATTATATTGTTTTTAAATATCTTCTTATCTTTTGTCACTCTGACTTGTGGGGCCTTCAGAGACCTCTCCTATCACCAGTTCTCAAGAAACTCAGCTGCTTCAGAACATCAAAAAGAACCCTGGGAGACTGGAGGAGGCCCAACCCCTTCTTAGGTGCTAGGCCAGTGCCCCTGGCATTCTGGAATGGATTAGGCCGATTAGTGAGAACTTCTCTAAAGCTGTTAGACAAACACCAAGAACACCCCAAATTAGCAAAATAAATAGCTTCACTCCCACTTTTGAGGAGGCAATCTTGGCAAAATGTCAGCCACTAAAGTATGGTTGTTATTATGTATGGTGCTGCCTGGGACGGTCATGTCTGCTCTATTTCCTTTGGGGTGGCTGGTGCTCCTTTGTGTTCATGTGCAGGGCTGGCCTTTGCTGGTGAAAATCAGTGCCCTGAATGTCACAGTCGGTGTAACACAAACAGAACAGAGCAAGAGGCAGGCTGTTCTCAGTCTGGATCTGTTCTGGATGGGTCTGGTGAAGGAAGAGCTTTAATCCTGGGAGACATGACATAGGAATCAACACTACTTACTGGTCAGGACTATAAACTTTATTTATTTATTTTTTAAATAGGTTCCAGTGAAGAACACAATTTTGCTTCCTTTCAAGAGGATGCTGAAAAGACACCAGAGGCTGTTGCTGAGGAAACTCTTGGTCCCCTGGACTCCATCTTCCCCCCAGAAGTTGTGGAGGAATCAGCTAAACTATGAGCCTCATGGGGCTGGACTCCCAGGGGATAGCAGTACTGCGAGTGTTGTCTGTGTCTGTGGTGTGAAGAGTCTCCACGCTGGCTCGACTCTTCACTCCACCAGCTCGTGCATTCTTTTTATTCTTTTGGTCTCACCGTTGGATAAAATCTCTCTCTGATGGTTTTGTCTGAAGTTCCGAGAGCTTTATTTTACAGCCATCACATTGCCATGGCGACACAGGATCTGCTGTCCTTCTGAAGGTCATGACCTAACTTCATTAGAGGCTAATCCATTCTGATGCCAGTCCCATCCTCAGTCATGTACCTTGCCCCGCACAAGTCAGAACACCTCTAAACCCAAAGGACTCTTTCCCTGAATAGTCCCCAGTGCCCCACAGGCATCCATTGATTCTGTTAGGATCTCTGCTGCCTTCAGATGGTTTTCATGGCCAGGCACAAACACCAAGCACCACAGGGCTGCACCACAGGGCCGCACCACAGGGCCGTGCACCACAGGGCTGCCCGGCGGCGTCTGCGGCAACACTTTGAATTAGCTTCCTACACTGGTTGCCTTTCGCCCATCCCTCCTCGTCTGTTACTGTCGTCACTGTTGTTCTTGTATTATTTTCTCCCCAGATCCCTTTGGCACAAAGGTGGGCATAACTTAATCAGCACACGTGTAGATGAATGTTCTGACCCTCTTGTTGATACCGCAGCATGAAGAAGCGAGCAGCAAGTGGTTAAAAATGATGACAAATCCGTGTTGACAGATGCGCCTCTTTTGTGAGTCAGTGCTGGGCTTTCAGCAGAGAACACCGAAGTAAATACTCAAATACGGGAAGAATAGCGGCCACCCCTTTACATTATCGTGTGCTTTGTTAGGTGGGTTATTACAAGGGCTGCTGTAACTAAAGACTGCATCAAATTGTAGTGTCCTGGCCTGTAGCAGAATTACTTCAGTTAAATAGTCTGTTTTGAAGAGAATGGCCAAGGGAACATCATGTCCTCATGGGAGAACCAGCCTCCTCCCCTCAGCACCGTGATTTGAGATTGGCTCAGTGGCAGGCTCTTTGGAGCATGGCACGGGGAACTGGTTAGCATCGCTCCAAGCTTGGGAAGATGTGTCACAGTTTGTGGTGGCCACCGTCTCTCCTGACGCTTAACAACCAACAGTGGGGCAGAGGAGATTGAAGGGAAATCCGTTTTAAAGTCAGGACGGGTACGACAAGATGTTCGCCTGGTGCTAGCAGTTGTCCTCACACACACACGGTATGAGTATACCATGCAATGGAGATAATTCTAATCCATGGAACCAGAGCAAAATAAATGACCAGGTCAGTACCTTAATGCCAGCCCAGAATGCACTCTGCTCACATTAGCCTTGCTTGAGGACTGTGCACCGATGGCTAGGGACTTTCCTTAGAGGGCTAAGCACTGTCTCTATTATTTATTAATTTTCTTATTCACATGCTCCCTCCCTCCCTCCTTCCCTTGCTTATAAGGAGATCTATAAGGAGATGAAAGGAGTTAGTTTTATTGAATAAATGAGTTCCTCATTTGCCTTTAAAAAAAAAAGAAAGGAATTAGTCATAGCCTAGATTAAAAATGACTGTGAGCTGGGAAATGAAGCCATTCCAGGGCTTGTGTAACAATGGCAAATGGGTTACCCATCCTCCACAACTGTTCAAGTTGCTCTCTGTTGGAAGTGATTGAACATAGTGGGCCTTTGCAGAAACACCAGGATGAGTTTAAGAATGTAATACAAGCTATCACTTGCCCAACATGCAACCTAAAGTGGTCTGAAAAGATGACCCACAGTCAACAACTTCCCTGTACAACAACCCTCTTACTGTTCATGAAAGTAAGGAAGGAGTTACTTGGCAAAGCCATAACACCCACCCACCACCACTACCACCTTTTACTCAGAACAACCCACTCTGGGTGCTGGAAGCCCTGGTGACTCCCGTCAACCAGATGCCACAGGCTGGAAAACTAATGTCTACGATGGGAGTTTGTATGGGACTTGCTCAGATATAAAGGCTTCAGGCATTTAAATAACATTCTTACTCTCCCAGTGGAGGAGAGAGACATCTTCCTTTACTAAATAGCACAAGGGGCCCGCATACCTTTCTGCCCACTGTGGCTGCTCGAGTGTTGGAAGTAGTCAAGAGAGCTACAGCAGAGACCTAATCCATATCTTCAAAACAGAATAAATGTCCTGCTAGAGAAAAGAGAGATGTGGGGTCCCTCCCAACTCAAAGACCATATGAGTTGAATGCGTCGAAGAAGCCTTTCTGTGCGCACACCCAAGAGCGTATCTTGAAGATACAACACACCACCTGCTTTGCCAACAGCCTCCCTGGTAAAGGGCAGAACCTTAAAGCTGAGGTGAAAATAGAAAAACTGTAGGGAAAGAGTGAGCAAAGTCTACCTCAAATACCTGTGTATCAGTCATCTGCAAGGCTTTGTGGTCACAGGGAAGGAAAGCCTATTTTCAAAAGTATGAAAGGCAAAGATGCTTTCAAAACAACCTGGCCCAGCCAGCACGCCTCACCCAATGGTTAACTTCTGCTGGAAATGAGGCTGCTTTTCAACCATGGTACTCTGTTGATATGTGAGGGAATAGTATAGAAAGGCAGCATGCCTGTTTTTTATCCCAAATGCGCGTAAGACCCCCAGCAGCAACCTGGTGGCAGACTCAAGAAGCATGGAAGAGAGCCGCTCAAAGCCAGCTGTCTCCTGAAGGTTCCTGGTGCTACCCGCTCATCACCCTTCTGCTGGAGAGTGCCAAGACTGGCTTAGTCTGCGGCTGGGAAGGTAGGGGGTAGCAGAAAGTTTTCCTGGCATGTCAGAAGCAGAATTCTATTAAAGTGTCCCTCTAGGCTGGAGAACTTCAACATGTCAATAACCACAACTGACCCTTAATGAGAAGCTGTTGTGTGTCTCCTTTAATGTGTTGTGTTTGAGAAGAGTTCATATCACAGCATAACAGAACCCATCTCAACAAATTAACCACTTGCAGTTAGCATATCATTCAGTTATGGGAACACACAGTCAGAAAAAAAAAATCACGTTTTTAATTCCCCATGAGTAAACTGACAGGGAGCGGTAAAATCAGCACTGAAGGAACATGGAAACGGTCAGGCCTAATGAACCTACATAAAGAGAATTGTCTCCAAATCGAGGAAGTGTTCTCACCCGCCTCCCCACTGCCTCAAGCCTACGCTAGCAGCACACGTGCAGAAATACAATCGGACACAACTACCGCAATTGTTACTATCATTTTCTTTTGCCCTCAGGTGCGAACCACCTGACAGCTACATGCTGAGTCATGCTAACAAAACTAAGCCTTTCACTTTCTTTAATAGTAAAATTACCATTACTGAATCATTATCATAAAAAGTGCATTCAAGTACATTACCACTTATTTTAAATAAACACCAATTTGAAACAATCAACTTTGAAAACCTGCATAAGTTTTTTTTTTTTTAAATCCCTGATTACATTTCTATTTATTCACTGTGGTAGTCTGAAACATTGTATTTTTAGAAACTACCACTTAATTTCCTCTAAAAACAAAACAAAACAAAAGACCCATGTAATATAGAACGGCAGTGAAGGAAAAAAAATATGTGCTTGTCACTTATCTTCACTGTGCATAAAAACTGGAGTGAAATATGGTATTTGTGCTACGAGAGTGTGTGGGAAAACACAGTTAACTTGTGGAACAGAAAATATGGTTTACCAAGGTATTCCTTTTAAATTCAAGGTTTGGACTTCCATTTTAGTTCTCTGTTCTGCAACTGGAACATTACCCCTGACGTCCTTGGCAAGCCGTGGACATGGGGGCATGTTTTTCAGCAAAGCGGTTAACTGTAATCAACTCAGACCTAAGAGACCTTGGAGCTTGATGCCATCTCTGGAGCTCTACTGCATATGGTCTCAGCGCCCCCTACAAAATGGACGTCCAGGCTGCTTCAGTTTCCCCATCAAAAGACCTAAACAGAGCCTCCTTCGGCGACTTCATCTCCTTAGATGGAGTCTTGCAATGTGACCCAAACTGAAGTCCAGGCTCAAGCAATCCTCTGCCTCAGTCTCCCTGGTGCTAGGGCTGCACATAGAAGGCTTGGATAAAAGGGTGCATTTTTAAGATCATTTTTAAGTTCAGCGGTCTCTGTTTATCCAATTATTGGCAACCACCTTGAATTTCAACATGCCTAAGTTTGAAGAGTAGTATGCACATTCCCTACAAAGACATCAACATATGGGTTTCCTGCCACCTTCTCAGGGAAGTCAGACGTCATATAGAAAGGACCCTTACCCTATAAAGAACAAAAACTACCCAGAAGATGCATTTTGCTAAACAGCTTACTTATGTTTATAATTGCTACTTACAAAGTGATACCAGCAAAGAAGTGTGTGGCCAGAGCAAAGGAATGTCCAACAGCCCTTGACAGTACGCCCGGATGAGCCATGTGCTCACCGACAAGGACTTGAGAACACGCCGCCTCTGGTTTCCTCTGGTTTCGGGTCAGCAGTGGGAACTGTCCATCTCTGCAGCTTTCCCACCGCCGTCATCTTTGCGTTCCGGTTGCGTTTCGCCTCCTTCCTCCTTGCACTGAGTTGGGTCTTTTTCAGCAGCCTGGTCTTTGGTTTGGGGTCCATGTGTGGAAACAGGATCTAAAACTACAACTGGCTCAGCTTGCTTTTCACTGCCCACACGTTTTCTCCTGTATCCACCTTTACTGGGAGGCCTATACGAAGAGAGTTAAATAGAAAAATAACTAAACAGAGAAAACATTTGACTTTCAGATTCCTGGATTCAGGAAAATAACAACAAAAAAAGCTCAAAGTCTAACCAACATGCATAGCATGGTAGTCTTTGAGATGCAAGGCTTTAAAAAAAAAAAAAAAAGGAAGCAGCAGCTATCAGATTACATCACAGGAGCAGAAGGCCAGGAAAGAGAAGGCAGGAAAAGTCAGAGCGATTGACTACGGAAGTTCAAAGGCCAACTGCACCTACCTGCATGGTCGCATACTCCTCTTGGGAAATACACAGCTCCACGGTGCGCTCCCAAACACCACCCACGCCAGCTCTGTCCTACCTCCCTTGAAGGAGCCAAGCCAGCCCCCCACCCCCTCCAGCCCCCAGCACAGCTGTTTGCAGCTTAGCTGTGAAGAGGCTGCATGGAG